TATATATGTTATGCTAGTTACATGAAAGGACATATCTGCCCTTGGTGTTTACATCATAACTGCTAACACAACAAACAATATAAAACTGAAAAGTAAATAGCAACTAGGAATAACAGAATAACAAATTGACCACAGCTGTGACTAGATACATTCTACCCTACGGACAGAGTGGGACCACAGCTGTGGGGCCCACATCAATGTTCTCTACAATGGACAACTTTTAAATTAAAACATAGAACCATCAGAGAGATTATTTATAGAAAAACTTGAATCAGAATTCAGAATAAGGTTGACTTGGATTGCAGAATTCAAAACATTACCAATCCAAAGGAATCCCCACCTGATGAATGGTCTGGATTGGGCACAAGATCCATCCATGTGACTAGTAAATCTCCTAGCCGAGTTAAATACAGAGATTCCCTACACGACCAACTCTATTTCAACCACATGGAGAAATTTTGTGACCAATTTATACTGTTCATCAGACAAGACATTTTTAGATTGTCTGTTGAATCTTGCAGTCTAGGTCAGCCCTATTCACTTGGGGTTAGAGTTTTGTTCAATTTAACCATAGCCCTCTAATTTTTTGATTTTTTATTACCAACATTGGACCTCAACTTGCTACTGAGTATAAACAGAAGAGAACTCCATCTTGCCTACAAACCTCTAAGTCCAAGGGTTCTCTGTCCAGATGAGGTCAACCTTGGATGACCTATCTCAATAGAGACTTACTAACAGATAGCAGCCAACATCCTATATCCTCTATATACTTTATACCTTTTGAAATTTTATTTCATTGGGTCGCCTGTTTGTAAACAAGATTCTTTCCTAAAGTAACCCGCTTTCCAGAAAAAAAGTGGGAGCACTCCTATTTTAGCACTGAAACTCCATTACCCCTTCATTTGAGTTGGTGAGACTCCATTCCACAGTTTAGGATCATAAGTGCCAACACTCTACACACACTGTTCTTTTCTTCACTCTGTTTTCTAGTTTTGTGCAAAATAAACATTAAAGCTCCCACTATCTAGATACCAAATGTAGCAACTTTGTTCTCTTATAGCTATACAGCATCAAATGGTTTCTACACACACTGTTCTTTTCTTCACTCTGTTTTCTAGTTTTGTGCAAAATAAACATTAAATCTCCCACTATCTTGCAATAATACTATTTTCTGTATTTTTTTCTTCTATTCTTTAGCTTTTTAATTTTATTTATTTGAAACAGTATTAATAAGTTAGATTAAGGAGTACAAATGTCAACCACCCACAGCAAGAGTCTTGATCCCAGAGTTTATCTCAAAGATTACAACACAGCCCAAAACAGATTAGTAACTTGGAGTGTTGGGCTTCCTGCTTTGCCAAGGTATCAGATAAACCATTGGCTAACCTGGTCCATGTAAAGAGTGCCCCAAACTTTTTCTGTCAGGCAAGAAATTTCCCTCATTTTCTGTCTATAAGCCCAAACCCCCAAACTTTTCATCTGCAGCCATCCTACTGGTAACTTGGAGTCTCCTTCCACCTCAAAATTGTGGAATCCCCACTGCTTATCCAACCTCAAGCCTTGAAGCAAGGGCATAACCTCAGCTCGTAGTGAGTCACCCACGCCCATTGGACCAGAATATAGTGCAACCAGTCTACCCTCCCCATCTCTGAATGCTCCCCTAACTCTAGAGGGTCCCGGTTTACCCAATGAGCTCCCATCAAAATTCAACTTCGCCCTTACTTTGTGCTGCAGGGATCCATTGAACCTGAACTACATTCTTTATAGTTGAAGAACTTGCTACCTCTGACTACCCTCTAAAAATGTCCTCAATTGAATAGTCTTTGAATAATTCAATCGATTTCAACCAATAAATGACCTTAATAGTTATGCAGTCAATGACTTGCCCCTTAGATCTTTCAATCCCTTGAAAAATTCTATTATTCCTTTCTTCCCAGATTGACCAGATGATAGTTGCTCTTGTAGCTCTCCACATTACTCTTCCTCTTTTCTTCAATAGTCAAAAAAAAAAAAAAAAACTTGGGCTAAAAAGGCCTACCACATCTGAAGGAGGATTTGACCTGCAACCAAAGAGAGACAAAAACCAATTCCAAATTTTCTCAAAGAAAAACGCAAGGCATCTCCCTAGTTCATACATCTATAACACTCAACTACAAATATGCATCCTGTCATCGCAATCTTCTTGGCTGAACCATTGATTCTCATTTAATCAAATTATAATTTATAGTAACAAAAAAAAAACAGAAAATAAAATAAACATCCAAAAAAAAAGAAGAAAAAAAGAATTCCGGAGTAGTACAAGTGACCTCAATACAATGTAGAATTGAATGTTTCAATGTTGGGTGGAACGGTGGAAGAAATTGCGGATCGGGAGGCAAGAGGAAGATTAGAAGAGGGAAGGTAAAGCCATACAACGCAACACAAAAGAAGGACAAGTAGCAGTGAGCTTTGGTCCTGTCGATTTTGGCTGCCATGGCATATTTTAAAATTTGAAGAATAAATAAAGGCCAAAGAGTCTTCCCATCCGTTCCATCCATCTTAACAGCCTCACGTTAGTGAAAATTGAATATCCAAAAGTGCAGGGGCACTTTAAGTAATTAACCCTAATAATAATAACAGCAACAATGACAATAACAGTAACAGTAAAAATAAATAAATAATAATAATAGTAATAATAATAAATAAATAAATGATTATATATTTACCTTCAAGAACTTCAGCAGCTACAAATGTGATGAGTGCCGAGCAGACATATTGGGGCACAGAATATGGAATTATTATATGGAAGCTTAGCAGTATTCCTATGCACACTATAATTTCAGATGCCAGCAAAATTTGCCTGCAATTAGTAATACAAAGAAAAAATGATCAACTGATTACAGCAGAAACCACCCCCAGACCTGAAGCATGCCATGCATGAATTACATATATCATAACTTGAATTTCAACCATAGGAGAAGAATTCACAGGTCTCATTGACTGCAATAACCAAACAAAATAAACATATCTTCATTAGTACTTTTACAGCCTAACTTTTATATCTTTTTGAGCATTTATTACCTCAAATCCTTTTAATTTTGTTTTATATAATTCTTTAATACTATTATATTGGAGGCTTCTTATTCCAGGTCTATTTTAGTCCTTCACAATGATCACCTCAGCACCATGCATGAGTAAAACAACTGGAAAATAAATTCCCTTCCCATTTTTCATAAAAGGCAAATTACAATTACAGAATATTTTTCAATTGTTTATTGCATCAGTTTGTTTTGCAAGGATACTCCAAAGGTTGCCAATAAAAAGAAAGAAACGAAACCGTGAAAGCACAACCACTCTTCACTTTCACCTGGCATGTTCCATTTTTACTCAATGGTCGTGGTGATATAAACACACACACACACACACACACACGCAAAAGAAACAGCATAAAATAGCAATAAGAAATTTAAAATGAATGGTCATATTAAAAGCAAGGATCAAAATTTCAATACAATAACCCTGTGCCAAGCATATCGCATCATATCAGCAAGCCCCCAATACACCTTATACTGGGCTTTTGGGGATTTGACCATTTTCAGGGAGTAGGCAGGCATAAGACTGACACCCTGACCGTTTTTGAAAAAAATAAAATTATGTGGGTTCAAAACATTCGATGCACATGTTCATGACTTCATGTGTATTGGGGTATCGATACTTAGAGCCTTGATTAAAAGGAATAAGAACATGGATGGAAAAATAAAAACAAAGTAGAAATAACAAAGAAAATCATAGAATCAACAAAAAACAGGGAGCTTTTTTTTGTAAATGATCTATTGTCTGACATTATTAAATGACCTTGTGGCAAATTATACTCAATCCTAATAAATAATAAAGAGGTGCTATTCTTCTAGAAGTAATTATAAACACTGATGAAAAAGAAAAAATTTTAAAACATTATTCTTATTTCTAGACTTCTTATGCCAATTAAAAACTGAACAATTAATTCATGGACCTTGGGAGCCCATCCTTCACATTTGAATGATTAGAAAGAATTCCTCTTATTGCACAGTTAGCCTCATCGCTTTAGAGACATGCATTGATCTCAATGAATATCAAATAAAATGGCAGAATCAAAAGTTAGGGCTATATATTCAATTACAGATTCTTCCTTGAGTCTCATCAATGTACATCAAAGAACATAACAGAACCAACTAAAAATAGGGAGATTGAAATGGAATTTTAGTTCAGAACACAAACATAAAAGCAAGCATCAATAGAGGAGAGAAAGGAGATGCACCTATTTCCTTTTCTTGTTAACGGAGTAGATATAGAAGAGTTGTGTTTGTTCAATGGTATCAAAACATACACAAGATTGCTCCTGAGAAGAAAGCTGGAGAAAGTCCTTCCACTCGATTGGAGAATAATTGCCACAGGTGAGAAAAGAAAACAGGAGAGGTAATATGTTTCTTCAGTGGGTTTGGGGATTTTAATGTGGGGAAAATAAAAGAATAATACCATTTTATTGAGGGTATCTTTGGTCCGGGAAATTCTAAAATTACATTTGACTGCATTTGGAGGTGGAGTGATCTCAGAATTTTAGAGCTGATATACCAGCATTCAGATGAGGATTCCATGGCAACACTGAATGATCCCCAACAGCTGAACAGACTTTTTCACTGGTCAGAGGTTCGTTCAGTGCTCTCAAATGCCCCCTTTGTGGACCTAGTTTGTCTGTTTTTGCTTCACAAGGTGGCTCCTTGATATCTGCTGTGTAGGCAGACCCAGGTATTTTGTTTGTGAGCTTGTTGGAGATCTGGGAGCTGGTATATATTTCTATGTATTGCTAATGGCTGTTTTTTACTTGAGCCACAGCTTTCACATCTCATGTTTTGCTGTTTTTCATTAATACAATTTTCTTTATTTGTTATAAAAAACGTAAGGCAATAAAGGCATAGTAATGCTTAGAAATGATATATTAATATCTTCTCTATTCATCATACCTAAAAACCAATGCAAGTACTATATCAAAACAATGCCCCATCTAAAATTTTACCTGTCTTCAAACATGTTGCTGATATAGTTGCCAACAACAATATTTACTGGAAGAACTGTTAGACCAAGGCATGCAAGAAAAATTGCCACTGAGCTAGTTGACCAACTAAAGTAGTATGATGTAATGACACTAGATTCAGAAAGTAAAATCTCCATTGCATATTTGAGCATGAAATATATCAATAGCTGGACCTGATGGGAAAAAAAAAAGATAGTCAAATTATTTTTTGTTCAACAATAATAACATTTATAAGAAATGAGCGGTAAAAACACAACAAAAGGTGTTCTATAGGAAAAGGCCCCTGAACCCAAAACAAACAACCAGAAAACAACAAGAAAGACCAGAAAAAACACAGAAAAAGGATCTTCCACACAAAGAATAAACTTGGAATAGATTAGCCCCAATACAGGTCCAACCTCCCAACCCGCTCCAAGCCATCATGGGCTAGGCTGGGCAAGGGCCAGGCTTTCCAGCTTTCTAGGCCTACATAATCATATGTTATAATAAATATTATGCAACAATATACATGTTAATATTATCATAATCATCATCCAAGCCTTATCCCAACTATATGGGGTCAGCTACATGAATCCTGTTTCGCCATTCCATTCTCTTTAATGCTATATCCATTGTTAAATTATGGACACTTGAAGTCATTTCTAACTATATCCATTGTAATATAACACACACACACATACACACATATCCAGGCCAGACTAAGAATGGTTAACCCTAATGCTGATGTGGGACAACGGTTCATGGATTTCATCTAGAAAGAATAGGTAAATAAGAAAGTTGAAAAAAAAGTGGATTGCTAATATTCTGCCTTTATACAAGTACAGATTTATATTGCCAAGTTTAGGATAATAAAAATATACTTAGCACATACTCAAACATGAAAATTAGGGCCATTAACAAATGTTGGTCCCAACTATCTGGTCTTGGGAAGGGTGGACTGGATACAGAATTATAAATGTAACCTTCAGATTTTCTTCCGCAAAGAGGCCATTCTCAGACTTAAACCCATTTTCTCCCAAGTTATTTTACCATTGCATCATGTAATGAAACATAGAACATTTCAAGTACATTGAAAAAATGGAATGAACTTCACACCTTAACAGATGGTGTAAGCAAGCGATATGCAGATTTAATTGAAGCAGCAGGTCTGTGTGATTCCTCAGAAGCTTCTTCACTACCATCGCATTCTTGGTCATCATCTTCATCTTGTTCCTTCTCTTCTGAACGTAAAAGCAAAGGCTTTGTGAGGCCATTTTCTACTGTATCTTCAACTTGCCCTGACATTAGAAAGATGATTTTTTTATTATAAGTATTTCCCATTACATATCGTATCATTAATTTTTATGCAGTAGTTAAATTGTCAATTTTCTGAAATGGCACAAAAAGTGGCATATTAGCATAGAGCTTCACTAGACAGCTTTTCTAGGATTTTTTTCCTACTTACTTATCTATTTTTCTGTGGTAAAAATTAAGATTAATTGATAAAGAAGCAAAAATGAAATGCATTCAGAGAAAAGGGTGTGTCATATGGAGTGGACATCTAAATAAAACAACGTGAGTCTATCCAAAATTGTACAAAGATTACAGCATATAGAAAACGTTTATAACAGTTTAGTTCCAGCTGTATACCACCACCTTATTAACCCCTGATCTAGCTAGATTTAAAGGTATGGCTCAGATGTAATGAAACCTGAGTTTAAAACCCACCCCAATCTCAATTTTACTTGGTGTCAGGTGCAAAGTCAAGTGGAGATGTAAATTCATGCAACTCTGTGAAGAATATGCAGAAAGAAGAATGCTGGAACAATCCAAAGCAAGATAATATCAGGCAACAACTGAGTTTGTTACTATCACAGTGGTATGGGCACATATATTGGAGATCTTCTCAGTCATGGTAAAGTCAATCATTGAGGAAGTGAGTTACAAATCAAGCTGAAGCAATTTCGTTGTGGTCAAATCATAGTTAGAACTCCATCAAGCTAAATTTTGAATATTCCATACTAGGAAATCCTGAAGAATCCAGCATGGACGGAGGCTTGAAAGACAATGACGGAATCATAATAGTTCTAGCATATGCTGGCCCAATCAGCATGTCTGATCAGTGAGAGCTGATGATTATCCTATGGCCTTGCCCAAGGATTCTGATCATCATTATCTATGGTCATCAGAGAACAACAATCAAGGACAACTCTCAGCTTATGATATGATGGATGAGCTGAGATATTACCCCTCCTGACCTTACCCATGGACTCAGATCATCAAATATCTATGGCCACTAGAGAAAAATAATACTTGAAAGAAGAACTGTTTACTGTATTACAGGCTTGAAGAGAAGAAAAGAGAGAGAGAGAGAGAGAGAGAGAGAGAGAGAGAGAGAGAAGAGAGGAGAAAAGAAAGAAGGGGTTCAGTGGTGAATGATCTGCTGCCCCATACACTCCTTTACTTATAGCTTTTAGGATCCTTAGAGGAATAGGAAGGCATACTTCTATTTGCCTTTTGTGACTGCTTTGGTGAAGAGATCAGCTAACTGCATGTCTAAGGCAATGTAAGGAAGGCATACTTCTTGAGATGCGACTCGCTCTCGGATAAAATGTCTGTTAACCTCGATATGCTTAGTCCTATCATGCTATATTGGGTTGTGGGCAATATTCATTGCAGCTTGATTATCACAATACAGAATCAGAGGCTTCTCATAATCAACCTCTAACTCATAAAGCAAGGATCTCAGCCATAACACTTCTACAACACCATTGGCCATGGATCTGTATTTCGCTTCTGCATTGGAGAGAGCAATAACATTTTGTTTCATGCTTCTCCAGGAAACAAGATTTCCCCCCACAAATGCACAATATCCAGAGGTGGACCTCCTATCATCAACACATCTAGCTTAGTCCGCATCTGTATACACTTCTATTTTCATATGACCATTATTCTTGAAGAGTATACCTCTCCCTGGACATCTCTTTAAGTAGGCAAGGATCCTTTCTACAGCAAGGAGATGGGTGGTCCTAGGAGAATGCATGCATTGACTGACAACACTGATAGCATAAGAAATATCTGGTCAGGTTAGACAGAGATAAAGAAGTTTCCCAACCAGCCTTTGATACATAGCCCTGTCCTCGAGGAGTTCTCCACTTTCTGCACTTATCTTATGGTTAGGCTCAATGGGAGTATCAGCAGGTTTCACTCCTAACTTGCCAGTTTCTTCCAATAAGTCCAGAACATACTTCCTTGGAGGGTTCCTTCACATCCCCTAGCATAAGTAGGGTCCTCCTTGGAGGGTTCCTTCACATCCCCTAGCAAGAAGTTCAATTTTCCTATACCCCCAATAGCCATCATGGCTGATTGGGCCCATTCCAAGTAGATTGATCCATCAAACTTAACAGTTGTAATATGAAAGGTGTTTTCAGTCATGTTACCTGAACCACTAGTCCCAAAAGCACCTTCCCCTTGGTTCTTGTATTCCATTCTAAGTTAAGATGAGGCTTTAAACTACTGTGACAAGAAAAAAACTGTATTTCAAGGCTGATAACAGCCGACCTAGGACAATGATTTTGTAGTTAGATAACAGTCAACTATTGTCTTGGGATTGATATCAATCCTGGACTGATTGATATCAATCTTGAGGTTTTCTATTCGTACCTCTCCGAATGAATAACAAAGTCCTTCTAAGTATCAATCTCAAGAAAAGGCACTTACTTTATGAAGAAAAAAGCCCAGAAAACTGATTGCTACCTTCAGTCTTTAGACTTGATCAATCAATTACTGTCAGCACCTTGAATCTTGATCAAAGAACCAAGAAAAAAAAACTGATCAACACCTCCAATCTTGATCAAGAATCGATCTTGATCACTCAATTCCTGCCTGATTCTTCCTGATTACAAGAAGCTCTCTCCAATCTTAGGACAGCTGCTAAAGCCTTCTTGCAACCTCCAAGAATCAATCAAAATGAGGATCTTTCTGAACTTTCAGCCCTAAACAATTCTCATGTGGTCGGCAGAATTAAATCCACATGAGAACCCTAGACCTAAG